AAACCTAAACCCAATAGAATAGAAAAAATTTTGGAGAGATGCTTGTGCATGTGAAGACCGACCAGAAATGTACCTATGCAAAATTTTACGTAGATGGCATTGATTTTACCCTATGCACTTTATTAAATGTGTGCATACAAACAGGTTTATACATATGCGAAGGTCCTGGCTTCAACCTTACTGATCCAGTGCTTGTTGATGATGGCAAAAATGATACCATTATTTAATGATTCTTAGACGCCATTAAGGCTCCATTACATTGTCCATGTAACTTGAGCTATGAACAGAATGATGAAATACAATTATTATTGGGCTGCTTTCTTTTAATATTTGGCATTATGTTTATCCATGTTAACAACAATGGATATTGATTATTACTATTTTTTGGCAGTTGAAGAAAAGGGCAGGAGGAGCAGCCGAACAATCAACCGCACCTAGGAACTCAATTTAGCTTGCTGAATCCACATTTTTGTTCAGGGTCCAACCTATCTCAGAAGCATGGCTAGCCTAAATAGAATGAAAGGTCCTTTTACGGACGCAACATCTTGAGTATGATGTCAAAGTAAACAGCACTGAGAGATTGGATGGCAAATTAGTGGATAGTAAAACCCAAACGTGGCATATATAACTCTTACCTCTTGGTCTGCAGTTAACTATTTGAGACTTTTCCACTCAGGTACAGGCACCTTCTTTTTGTTTAAAACATTTTATTTGATGTATGTCTGAACTGAAAAGCCTATGAATCACTACCTTGTCTTGCTTTAAGAACTATAATATTGTATAAATTCTAGTAGCGTCGTTTCAAATACAAACACTTATACATTCTTTTCATTTTGAATATTTTCTAGTCTAAGAAATAAAATTAAGCGTTTCGAGGAAATTATTCTTGTATTATGCTTGGGCATATGTGTATATATATATACACACACACCCTTTGCAGTTCTGTTTTATGACCTGCACAAGATCTTTTGTCATATTTCTGTGACCTGTCATACCAATATCATTGGTAATGTCTGAATTTGGCTGTTGTTGGAATAGAATGAGTTGGCCAATATCTTTGGTGGACTTGTCAGTCCTTTTGTGTAACCACTTTCATAATCACATATTTCAGTATTTCTGTTTAGATTAATAATTTGCCTGAATGCTTTTCTACTGTCAGGAACATGGGATGACCAATCAAGGAAGGTATTTGATCAATGCATGCATCTAGAGGAAAGAACAAATTTTGTCTGCCAATGTCAAAACATAAAAGGAGGGACAGTAAGATTCCACTCTCAGGAACTTCCACCTATTGTAAGCAGTATCTTTATTTGTTTTGTGGAGTTTGCAATCCTTAAGAAAGGAAATTGTCCTCATAACACAAGCCGGTAGCCGGTAGGATGAGAATTCTAGAAACAAACTCAATAGGAAAGAAATTTGTACAAGTAGCCAATTAGCACACAAATTCTACTACATGTAATGTAAGTTTTTTTCTAGTAAATTTAAAATATTTCATAGGTTTTTTTTTTCTCCTATAAGTCGTTTTCCTTCATTTCAGTGATGGAACTTGCTGGGGGCATAGGTGGTTGTGGGAGGTCAGCTCCTGGTTTTGAACCCAGTTATTGGTGCCAAACCACCTGGCACGTTACCACCAGAGCAGAAGGGTGGTTGGTATTTGCTACCCTTGCCTCTGTTTCTGAGTTTTCGATTTCTGCGGCTGTTTCTTTTCTTTTTCTTTTTTTTTTTTCTTTTCTCTATTCTTTTACTAAAATAATTAAAAATTCATTAATTTTATCTACTTATTTAAATAAATTTTTATACTTTTATTGCATAGAAATAAGTTTTTGATTTTTAATTTGTATTCAAATAAGTTTTTAACTTTTAATTTATTCTTAAATAAATCTTTAATATAAATCAATTTTTTGTTTGAAATTAAAACTTATTTAGATATAAATTAAAAAATAAAAACTCATTTGAGTATAATTAAATATAAAAATTTATTTAAGAAAGTTGGAATAGTTTAAGAGTTTTTTATTTTAATTAAAAATTTTTATTTGTTTCTAATGAAAAAACATTGCACAAAGATAGTTTTAATCATAATCTCAAGTCTCAACTAAGAGATGGCTCCATCCAAGTCTTTCAAACATTAATTTCATTTCCTTATGTTGATATTTCGAGTAAGGAAAATAGGTTGCTTTACATTTTTAGGGCAAATTTCATTCATGACATTTAACTTTTTCATTTTAGCGACACTTTAGTCCTTAATTTTTTATTTTAGTTTCACTTTAGTCTTTAATTTTTAAATTATTCAATTTGAATATTTAAGCTTTTAAAGTAGTTTCATTTTATTCGTTTCATAACATTATTCTACTAATAATTGAGAAAACTGTCTGTGGAATGTCAATGGAATGTTAATGCAAATGCCACTTAATCTATAATGTGAATTAGGTCAATTTTAATGGAATAATTTGACAAAAAGTTTAAATATAATTAGATCTGATAATTTGTGTCATTATGTCATGCAAAATATTATATTCGTGTCGTATTTTACATAAAAATTATGTGTTATAATGCGTATCGATATAAAAAAATATAAAATATATATTTTTGATTTTATTAAATATATTATGATTTTTGTAAAATTTTAAATCGTGTTTTTTTTATATTTTTTATTTATGTTATTTTTGTATCGTATTATCGTATTTTAAATTAACAAATCTAAATATAATCATTTTAAAAATTTAGAGACTTAAACTAAACAATTGAGTGGCCTAAAGTGAAATTAGAATATAAAAAATTAAACATTATATATGAAATTTGTTCCATTTTTTAAGTACTGATTTTTAGGTCACGTGCGTTATGTGATGTTACATTTTAATTATTTTTAAATTATTAAATAATGTATTTTTTAATAAAATTTACTTACAATTTTATAATCGAAATTTCCTTAGCTATTTAATTGAACTTACTATCATAAAGTGAAGCTTTCACATTGGACGATACAATGATAGGGGTTCCATCAAAATTATCTTCAAACAATTGATCTTCCTTTTAAACAATAACTTTCCACAAAGTTAATGGCACATGTAACATTTTATATTCAAATTTTATATACAATTTAAAATTAAAAAATATATATTGTATAAAATGTAAGCCAAACAAATAAAGAAAAATAAATAATTACCTATCATTGACAATGATAATTTCTCTTCTTATCCATTCACTTTTTATTTTTTTTATCCAATGATAATTTTACATGTTCCTCGTACCTATCCTATTGGTAATCAAATAATATTTAATTATTTAACATTAATATTAATAATTTAAAAATTATTAAAATAACAAATTAGAAATATAATAGATATTCATACCTATTTTCATGTATACTGTTGGGGGCTGTAAATGGTACTTATGTTCCAGCAACTACCATATTCTGAACCGCAAGATTTAGGCTGTCTTTGGATTTAATTGGGGTTGTAGTTGTCGTGGGAGATTATGCAAATCGCACTGTACAGTATATAATTTTGTGTTTGATTTTAATCGGCAAATTTAATTGCTTTAGTTTTTTCATTGGTCATTGTTGGTCTAGTGTTTCACTCGAGATTTTTTTTTTCTTTTTTTTCTCCTTAATTTTTATTATAAATATAAAAATATCCTAACGTTTAATTATTTTTTATTTAAAATTTTTGAAATAATTTTTTAATTTAATATAATAAAAATATTATTTGATATATTATTATGAATTTTTTATTATTTATCATAAAAATAATTTAATAAAATTTTAATTTTTTATGAATTTTATAAATACTAAATAATTTAAATTTTTTATTATATATAAATTTTAATTAAATATTTTTAATAATTATTTTTTTCACTATAATTTATCTTATCTTCATTGTTATTTTTATATCTAAAGATATATCTTTAATCTCAATATTACAATAACAAATTTCATTTTAACCTTTATTTTTAATAATATCGAAATTAATTTTATCACTTATCATATTAGACCTTTAGTATTACTAAAGATTGAAAATGGTAGTTTCATTCATATCAAGGTTAGTAGCAAATTGAAAGAAAGAAAAAATAGAGAAAAGCCAAGGAGACCGACAACCTGCGAAATAACACAACCGCCAATCATAGTGTATCATTATATTGGATAAAATATAATTAACAAGGATCCGATAAAATATGGACTAAGATATATATATATATATATATATATATGCATCATTTATAAAATATATGAATTTTAAAAATATATAATGATCGATTAAAATGTTTTTAATAAAATTTTAAAAATATTTTAATTTAAATATTTTTTTATTATTAAATTTTCATTTTATTAAATTTTTAATAAATTTTAATTTTCAATGATTTTTCTCATTAAACTTTTTTTTATTATTTACTTTTTTATATAAAATAAAATATTAATTAATCATAATTAATTTCTCATTTCTAGCCAACTTAATTAATTAATCATACTTAAAAGCATTTATTTCATGTTTTTGTTATTTCCTTCTTCATTATTATAAATAATTTATAAATAATTAATGTGTAGGTAACACCAACGTAAAATTTGACTTGAAAAACTTGACGTGAAATCAAAACGTAAAATTTTAGTTATGCATTCGGTTTGATTTTCATAAACAAAACACAAAAGCCCGGAAACAGCAACAGCAGCAACTCTACTGCTGTTTCCTTATCAGAATTAACCAGTAACTCATTCACTACTTCAGTTCATAATCATCCAGCTTAATTGAGAGGACACAAATGCTAGAGTTACTTCATAATCAATACAAGAAAGAACTAAGCTATTTTTTTGGGGGAGCCCCAGGTGTGTTCACTTCCAAGACCTCCTTTGGTTTGTCAAAGCTCAATTTTCCTCTGCCTCTTCTATTTCATCAGAATCAGCAGATTGGCTAATAATATACTCTTGAGCTTCATCAAGTGCAGATTCTTTTGCATCAGCAGCATACAGTATTTTCTTTATTGCTACTGCCATCTGCAAATTTTTTCATCAAGCATACCAATCCGAAAAATGGTATTAAAATACTTTGACCCCCGGAGTACAGGTTCACTTCGATTGTCATCTTAAAGAATTGGATGAAAAAACAAGAAAAGGCAATTCATGCACTCTAAGTGCAATTGAAGTCCTTACAAACATGTATCATCATATCAAGAGAGAAAGGAAGCCTACTTGGATGAATGAGTAAAATGTGATTATACACAATCAAATTGAAGCCTAAGGTCCCAAAAAAAAATTTCAGATTTACTGTTTAGGACTTTAGGTATTTCACATAAAATCAATACAGATCAAACCTAACATCACAGTGTGCAATGTTTAACAGCTAACATAGCGGACATCTATAAACTAAACAATTAAGGATAGTCATTGTCACGCATCATATTAGCACATAAAAATATAGGACACTGCCACCTTGAGGGCTAATAGCACACCTCTTTATGTCCTTTGTTCGAGCACAAGTAATTAGAAACATATCCACCCTTGGGCAGCTAATGGATGACATCGAGATGTATGGTCCGCAAACCGAAGATGATAATGGGAAATGCACCATAATGTCTACACAGGTATGCATGAATGTATGCACTCATTTGAGAGAGTGTGAAGATGGGCTTAACAGGAACTCTTACCGGGTGATTCTCCACTTCAGGAGTCTGACAAAGTATCTCAATATCCCGCAATTTAGCAAAGTAAAAATCTCTTTCCTTTTCCAAAAGGTCAACCGAGAGCTTCAAATCAGTAATCTGTACAAGAACAACATGAAAAATGGTATTAAATCACATCATATGACAAAGTCACAACAGAATATCATTTTCCTTATTCAGCTAGTGAATTACCCAAATTTCTGCAAATTGCATACGTGACATGAGAGAAGAGGGAAAAAGCATTCGAGAGACTAAAAATGCTTAGCACAATTACTCCTTCCACTCTAAAAAGTAATAAAAAATAAAAAGGGAGTCAACCCATGGCAAATTTACAGAGTGATTATCACTAGGCAATTATTAAAGAGGAACAATTCATGTCAGAGAGCCATCATAAGCACTAAAAGCATGGAATGTCAAGCTTAAATATTACAAGTAAATATAAATAGATGATAAAAGAACCTAAAGGAGAGCTCAAATGCTATCACCTCCTTGGACAAACCCTGGACATCCCCCGAAGCTGCTGCTACACCTGTCTTCCCTTGCTTGGAAACTGACACAATGTGTCAAACAATGGTGATGAGAGACAGTGGTAAGTATGAAACAATATTGGGGAGAATTAAATGCATAAAAAATACAAACTATGATATTAGTGCAAAACGAATTGCATTGCACAAGCAGACCAGTGTTTTTATTAATGGCAGCTGTATCTCCAGAGGCAGAGTTATGGAGATTGTTTGCTTGCAGAGATTTTGAGCTCTTATGAGAACCCTTCAAGTTCCGCTCTTTTCCACCTTTAAGTCTTCTTTCAACAGGATTATAATTCCTATTAGATCACACAAAAGAAATGAAATAGTTCAATTGTAACATCCTCATATGTCAGGGAAGGAAGGAGGTAACGAGGGCGAGAGAGGAGGAGAGAGTAGAGAAGATTAATAAAGTGACAGGAAAAACAGCTTACTCATTCATGATTCCACCATTCACAGAATCACAATACCGTTTCAGCCATTGTAAGAACTCCAAATTATCCAAAGGTCTGCCTTTAATAAGTCTATTGACTTCAATATGCTGAATATGGTAAAATTATCCGTATCAAATTTGAAAAAATTTGTTATCTAAATAATTGCAATAAAACTAACAAATACTACTTTTTCATGCTAAGATTCAGAAAAGCCACTAGGAAATCAAATTCATAGAGACCTATTCATGTGCAAGCATACACTCAATTGCCCATGGCAATGAACAACACGGGACTGAGACCAAATCTTAATTCATATGAAGTTTAAGCTTCATCTCCTACAAAAGCATCTAATTATATGACACCATCCATTTTATGCCAAAAGTGAGGCCGAAAGCAAAATTTTAAGAATCCCACAAAAGGCATCATGACTCTTGTTCTATTTTCTATTAGCATTCAGCCACAATTTTATTTTGGCCTACAACCAAAAGAACTACAAGTCACATGTGAGCTTATCAGATGAAATGTCATTGAGTTTTCTAAAATGCCAAAAATTAACTAAATTTTATGGTTACTTTCCCATTTGCGACCAAATGTAATGAAGCATACTCAAGGTATTTTTTTTTTATTCTTTTAAAACATGTATAGTGACAAAAAAGGCAAAAACCTCATACATTAGGCATTGAAAAAGGAAATGTACAATAAACAGAGATGTAATTACCTTTTCAATTTTCAACTTGTTGAATACTTCTTGCAGAACCTTGTAATTTTGAATCATATCATATTCTGTCTTTGCATCAAAATTCACCTGCATTCCAATTAAAATCAGGAAAATCATTTCATGATGAAAATTAATTGAGAAAAAAGACACGGGGAAGATGAAATAGAGACAAATCGGCTAATTCACCTTGTGCATTGGGACAACTCCTGGATAGGTCATATCAATCATCTGGCATTGCACAGCACCAGATGCAGCCTGGCAACAAGTAGTTAGTTAAAGTGAAGAAAAGTATAGTAAGATTATATTGTGAACGACAACTATGTGAATCTTAAATCAGCCATATTTCAGTATAGTAAAAATTGGAAATGAAGACATAAAACTGAAGCAAAAGTCCCCCAGGTGAATAGTGCACATTCCCGGTAGAATATTTGAAAAGCCAAACAACAATAGCCTACTTCATTGCACCAATCAATCTCTTAGGTCTGATATTGTGACAGAAAAACTGCAATAACTCTTGGGTAAAGTTTAAACAAATACAAGGATATCACGATGTCCCAATCAACCCCCATAGAACCTTACCTGCAACAAGGAGGCTGAACGCTAGGGATCACAATATTAGAAATACGCAAATTATCACCCACTTTTGGTCCTAATTTAAATTCCATGTGCTTATCATGTTACGTTAATCATGCTCCCATCTAGCAGGACAGTGTAAATCCTTGGCAATAGACATAACAACACGGTCATCTCGTCTCAAAATTATCCTAATCTACAAGTGGAATCACTGGGTGAGTCATTAAGTGTTCCATCCATACTGATTGATAATATCTCAAATCACATGCAGAAATGGGATGGATTAATAGGTAGGAATATAACAATCAACACTAAGGTTGCAAAAGTGAAATTACTAGAGTATAACTAGTAACATTTCTCTATCAATGGCAAAAGAAAAAGAGAAAACCAACATTTTGAAGAAAATCAAAGTAAGATTAACAAAAAAAATAAATTCAAACATCTGGAGAACGTTAACAAAAAGCTGCCTTGCACCTGTAAATTGCCAACATTAAAATTTTATTAAAATGGACCAAAAGAATCCCATTTTAAATAAAAAAAATTCCCTTTCTCGCTTCATAAAACAAAGAAAGTAACTAATAATAATAATAAAAAAAAAAACCCATTTCAAAGCAATCTTTGTTCTTTCCATTATAAATAAAAAAAAAAAAAAACCCTTTCTCGTTTTATAAGTTGTTAGCAAAGAAATATTTTAATTAAAAAAACATTTTAAAACAATCTCTGTTTTTTCCGTTAAAATTACCCAAAAAAGGGCAAAAATGAACCATTTCTAATAAGAACCAGCATTAACAGTAAACAAAAAAAAAAAAACCCAAAACTAAAGAGATCCTACATTTGCATATAGAATGTATTAGAAAGCCATGGAATTCCGAAAAAAGAAAAAGTAACAATCATTAATAAAGAAACACGAAATAACCATAAAAATTAATAATTTGGCATATACTATATATAAAATAAAAACATTACTTCTTCAATACGAGAGAGATTAAGCTGAAGCCTGTTATTGATCCACGTTAAAATCTCATTCCTTCCAACGAAGTAAGCACTATCCATCATTCCTATATTCGACGACATTTTTTCTCTTCTTCTTCTTTTCTGTAATTATTTTTTATTTTAGCCTCTCAAATTCAAAAAAAAAAAAAATCTTTGCAATAGCATGCAAAGAAAAGAAGAGAAGAAACCCAAAAGCGAAAGAGAGAGAGAGGGAGAATCAGAGAATAATGTGGGTATTAAGAAGGAAAGATTAAGGCGTAATTCAAGGAAGGGAAGGGGTTTTTGAAAATGATTTCAATTTTGGATTTTCTGAAATTTTTTTAGAATTTTTAGTACTGAAAAAACTGAAGGAAATGGAAGGCTAAAATCTCAAACAACAGAACCGAAAGCGTAAGAAACCCAACGTTGGTGTAGCTGCCACCGACCCTTTTAATGTGGGAATATTTTTTTTATTCTAAAAAATTCTTCTTTTATCAATAATTTATTAACAGATTAATTTAAGTATATAACAAATCCTTGACTTTTTCTCTGTTTTTTTTTTTTTTCTTGACTTTTTTCTTTTGTTTGTTTTTAGAGAAAAATACAACAAATAAGCGTGGGATGAAAAAAGTAAAAATAAATAAATATATATAAATAAAACTTATTTCAAAAAGTGCTAATTTTAATAATAAATTTATAATGAAATTTATTTATATTCTCATTTTATTCTTCAATAATTTACAAAATTATAAAGAAAATTATATTATTTCACATTTTTTTTATTTTATCTATTTTTCTATTGAATTCATTTATTTTTCACTTAAAATTTATAATTAAATTTAATAAAATTGATTATTTATTTTTTATTTATTAAAAATATACAAAATATTATTAAATATTTTTTTCAATATTTTATAGCAATTCTGTATTAAATTTGTCAAATGCTTTTTTACAACACTTTTAGAACAATTTTTCATTAGCAGCACCCCTTATAAAAGGCTTCAACTGGGCCAAACTGGTTCTCTATTGATTAATTTTTTAAAATTTAAATTATATGGATCTAATTATTTTTAAATTTAATTATTTATGAATTTACAGCATTTATAAATCTAACTAATTTTAAATGAATTTACTTATTGTTTAACGTCATTTAAGTTTAATATTTTGAATCTACATACATATTTATTAACATAAATACTCATGAATCAATCCAAATTGTATCTATTAAATATATGCTTATTTAATACATTCATTTAAACTTTTCATAATGAGATATCAATTATGTTTATTTTGTATATTTATTTTTATGTTTTACTATTTTCTAAATTATAAATTATTTGTTTTGAATAATTAAAATTTTAGTTTTTATTTTTAATTAATGCGTCAAGAGTTCAATTTAAATGAATTGGTTGATATTAGAAACTATTTTGTATTTTTTTTTTCTTTTCTACCAAATATAACATCCATGATTGTTCCAAAATGTTTTTATTTGGGTGTGTGTTTTATGTGAATATATTCTTAAAATTATCAATTTGTTTTAAGCAAATGGAATTAATTAGGCCGGATGCAAATATATTTAAGTGAGTTGACGTAATCGGTTACTCAAAATTCAACCCAATTCGAGATTATATTCAATATCATCTTTTTTAATATATATTTAATATCATATTAATTTAATCAATTAATGCAATCTATCTTATCAAAATTAATCACAAAACAAAATTTAGAAGTAATAATAATTTCTTGAAGATAACCCTTAAAAAAAAAATTGGTATTTACCTTACCTGAAAACATCACCTAAGGCTTGAAAGCCAGCTCTCATAGTTTGTCCAAAAATTGAATCTTTAGCTTTCTCATTGTTGCCACCAGCTGGATAAGCTTTCACCTACCAAGTCATATTAAAGTAAAAAATAAACAATTTTAAGGCACAATCTAGGAGCTACAACCCAGACAATTTATATTACTCAAAAATTTTCCTTGCTTAATCCATTCATTAGATAAATTTGGCTTATCTGAATATTTTCTTGTCCAAAACAAACACACATTTTCATTTAATCATGACTAATGCATTACATTTTAAAAGAGAAAATTATTTCAAAAGATGAATGTACCTCCACTTAAAATAATTTTATATTAAATTAATATTAAACAAATAAAATAAATAGATTTATATACTTTTGTAGTTAAAGAGATTACTTAAACATATTTTACTATTACAAAAGCACTAACGCTAATATCAATATATTTTCCAAAACCCTCGTTTTGAATAATAATTAAAACTAACAAAGAAAAGAAGAGCAAATTGGTATGAATTCAACAATACCTCATAATAACTTGCATTTGTGAATATGCTTAAATTTTCAAACATCCACTATTGTTAATTCATCATCATATAGTAAAATAAAATAGAAAAAATGAGATTACATAGATACTTGCTAAAATGCTGAGTAAGTAAATAGCAAAATGATCGGCTTACTTTTATTAGTTTATGCAACTCGAAGACTTGCACAACAAATACTCTTTCTTGACTGAAAATAGTGATATATCAATTTTAGAGTTCCAGCATTAAATCTTGAAAACCAAATACTAAAGATACATATGCAATGCCATTGAAGACATACTTTAATACTACATTCGAAAAGAGAGATATGCTTCTAACAGGGATTTATTAGGTTGGAAAGAAAGTAATATTAGAATTACCTTTATATCTTATTTTCTCTTTGCGTCAACTGGTTTATTTTTAGCCATTTCTTTAATTATCTATTGAATTTATATATCAATCTTGGAAGCCTACATCATTTGAACTTAACTCCACACGGTTGGTGATTGATAATGTGATCAACTCTAGATCCATGGTTCCATGTCTAGCCAGAATAAAATTAAGATAAAAAGAGATTCTAGTTAGAGAGCACCAATAATAAATCATAAAAGCTCAATAAAACAATAAGCTCTATTGTAGTATTCAAAGTTACTAAAGAAAAATGTAAAATTAAGTATAAAAGATTCTTAAACATTGAGGATTAAAGAAAGCTCTAAGATACCTTTGATAAATTAAAGACATGAGAAAGTCAATCTTAGAGCTCTTATATGCAAATTATCATTTGAAATCTTTATTTTTACAATGAAAGCTTAATGAAACTTTTATCCATATAAGAGTACATGCATAGAGCAGAATATTTCATTTCACAATATCAAAAAATTTTGATACGAAATTTACATTACCATATGAAAACTTACATCAATTTTCCAATTCTTATTCTCCGTTTTCACCTACAACCAAATGAACAAAATGATTCTACTGTGTTGAATGATTAGAAAACCAACAAAGAAAAACAAATATTAATCTAATTGAAAACAATTCAATAAACTTTCTCTATTTTATGAAAAAATCCAACTCAAAAATCAAATGATAAAAAAGAAATACACAATTCAAGCTCTAAAATAATTAAGTAAAGAAATTTAAAAAAAAAAACTCAAATTTTATCATGGTACTTAAAAATTTATCCCCTTAACCAAACATTTATAAAAACAAAAATCCTAAATCGGGTCAAATGATGAAAAAAATGAAAAATTTACAAAAAAACAAAAAAGAAAGAAAAAGTTATACCTTTTTAGCACTAGGACCAAATATCTGTTTAGAAAAGCCAGAATTAGGGTTTTTTTTGCAAGATCCAGATGACCCATAGAAGAGTAAATGTGGGCAATCTTGCTATGTAACTTGTTTAGTTCAAGTAAAAAAAAAAAAACCCATGAAATTGAAATAATTAAAGAGAAGAAGGAAAAAAATTAAGCATATAAGATTTTAAGACCTATAAAATTGAAATAATTAAAGAGAAAAAGAAAACAAATTAGGAAACTAACATATTTAAAAATTGTATGAAAGCTTTATAAAACTTCATAAAAATATCATAGTCTCGAGATCTTAAAAAGAGAACGTTCTTTCAACATATTTTAAAGCCATTAATGCTCTATGTACAACTATCTAATTTGCAAATGTAAAGCCTAAATCCAAAAACCAAAATAGTTTAATTCTTTTTATAATTAAATAAAAAGAAATTGAAAAAAAATTTTTACTTTTTTTTTCAAAACCTTGCATCACGCATCTGGGTCATAGGAGGAGAGCCCTTAAGCGCAATTGTAAAAGCTTCAATGGGTTTATTCCTAAGATCGAAACAAATCGATCCTACTTAATTAGGGTTACTTTTTTCAAAAATAAAAATGAGACATTTTAATTTGGATTAGAAATTTTTACTGTTTAAGTAAGCTCTGGATCTTTTTAGATTTGTTCTTGATTCTTGTTATTATAGCCTCTAAATTATCAGTTTTCACAAATTTCTTTGTTTCGCCATCATTACCAAGTCACTCACTCATTTGATCTGAGATCTATTTCCATAACAACATTTAACAATACCTGCATAAAAAATAATAATTAAACAAAAAACACAAACCAATCTACAAAAATAACCAACTTGCTATCATCCATGCAATATGTAATAAATATTTTAGACAAATATTTAAGAAAAAAAAACTAACATGCTAACTAATTTGGAAAGAGAAAAGGTTGTTGTCCTTTATCTTTAGTGCTAAAATGACACAAACAAAGAAATAATTAATAATTCATTAGTAATAAAGTTGTGAAAAAAATCCAATTTGTCATTTTGGTTGAAACCACTACTCACTTCAAGAACTTCTCATACATATCACCGTTTTTTCCTACACCAAAAAAAAAAAAAAAGTACAATTCACACCATCAAACATATAAACAAATAAATTGTGTTAATAACACAAAAAAAGCAAGCAAATTGTTAATCAAAATTAGGCTTTTAGGAAAAACGTCTTTAA